TAGTGTTATAGGGCAATTATATATATATATATATATATATATATATTAATAATAATTATATCCTTGCTCATAATTTAGATTCAATCATTTTCTTACCAGAAGTATACCATTTCTTTTACCTGTCTCTAGTTATTAGTTTATAACTTTGAACTACTTTAATTTTTTGTTTCAGAGAGAAATGTCGGCAATGGTTTTCTGCTGTAATTACATCACATGACCTTATAACCAGGGTATGAATATTGACAGAGATTGATAAGCATACTTTAATTAGTCAGAAAATCTCATTTAACAGAATTGAGGTAGAGATATTGCACTCGCCTCTATGRTCTTTGGTTCAATTCCTGGTTTGGTCATCACATGTGGGTAGAGTTTGCAATGTCTCTTCCTTGATTCAAGGATTCTTGAGGTTAGAGGTTATTTCAGGGTTTGATCTGGGTCTGATAATCATACTAGAATACAACTAGTTGTTTGGTCAGAGATGGCCGTACCATGCATCATTTACTCACTGAGCTGCTATATTCATTTTGGACGTGATAGGAAATGGATGTGATGGACGATACTGTCTTACAGACTCACAGGATCAATCCCAGATTGGTAATGGTCTTATTATTAGCTAATGGTAAGAAAATTGTTTAAATGCTCATCAATATTGTTGTATATTTAGCAATAAGTCCTCAAACCTGAATGGGCTATTGACTCGGAATAGGCCATGAAGGTGAGAGGACTAACTGTTTTAGTCAAATYCAACTAGTCGGTCAAATATATAGATGCAGACAAGTTTTGAATTAAAGTTAAATTTAATGTTTTGGTTTTGAAAGCCGGCACTTKTTGCTACTAGTAGCTATAACTTATAGCACAGTAGTAGCTAATCCACTCCAATTAGAACGCAGCATTGTGTCATAGACTACTAGTACGATTTGACTAATATCCATTAGAACATGCGTAGTACATAAATTACATATCAAGTCTCGTAATTTACCTATTACACAGTTCTTATATGATTTCCAAGCCCATCCCACATGGCTTACAGTCTCATTTCTCTTAATATCATCTATTAGAGTATGTTATGCTCTGTTCTACTATGAGTAACATTAACTAACACAGTGATGATACAGTAATGATGAAAAGGTAAATTATACACCGTGAAAAGATGAAAAAACTTACTGACGTTTCGGACGCTAGTCCTTCGTCGCTAGTCCTTACTCCGACGAAGGACTAGCGTCCGAAACGTCAGTAAGTTTTTTCATCTTTTCACGGTGTATAATTTACCTTTTCATCATTACTGTTTCATTAGAAACACCGACGCAGCTCACACTAGTTTTTAGCTAGTTATATCCAGTGATGATACAGTCGACTCTCTTTGAACGACCACTCTCGTAAGCGACCATCTCCCGTAAGCGATCACCTTTTGAAATTCCCGTTTTGTTCCCCATATAAATTCTGCAAAAACACTCTCTTGTAAGCGACCACTCTCGTATGCAACCGCGACCACCTTTGGGGTTAAAATTTTGGAATTTTTCATTGTTTTTCCTCTCCCRTAAGCGACCACCCAAGAGCMAGTAATGTTGACAGATCCTTTAACAATAAAAAAATTAAGAACATAGAGTCATCAGGTATTGAAAACCCGAAGAAATATTGACAATTACACTACTATAAACATATAGCACATTCAAGGTTTTGATTAAAACAGTTTAATTGTTAATACAGTAGTTTTAACACATGAGTTACAAATTATATGGTTTAGGCTTCCTGTGTTGGGATTCCCATTGTTTGGGCTTCCTGTTTTAACTCTCTAGTAAGCGACCACCTCCCGTAAGCGACCACTTTCTCCTGGCCCTGGGATGGTTGCTTACAGGAGAGTCGACTGTAACAAGATRAAAGGCAAAGAGTGCCTTTTATTCAAGCAAATCTCAATCCTATKGTTATTTGTTACTGCTGTGACTTGGGAAATAAATAAACAATTTTCTACACATTTGTTTTTTAACAGGGGTTGAACTAGATAGCATGTTACGAGGGGATTTAGTAAGAGTGTTACCAGTTAGAAGGAATCGCCAGTCACAAGTTGTCATTACTTCATCATATACTTCAACTACGCCAAGCTGTACCACCGGCAATTCGGTAAGTATCATATGTTTGATATTTTGGTCACATATATTTTGGCCAAATATTTTCCCGTACGGCCCTCCCACTCAGTCAATCAGTACATATTATTATTTAATTATATATTATTATTACTTTTTGTGATTTGACTGTACAGTTTAAAATTTCGTTTGGGGGACTGTTATTATCAATCATTATCGCTCAGTTTYGTAAAACAATAACTGAGGCATTTGAGATTTCTCTTTCTGTTACAGATCAGAGTAGCCAATAGAATATTTCATATTAATTCTATGTTGTTTCTAGATGTGGCAGTTTTTAAATGATATGTGTAGAGATTCACCATCAAACCCACCAGCCCAGACATCTACCAGTACTTATCAAACACAAGCCTTACGTAGCCCTCCAGTTAACATGTCAACAGCAGCAAAAAATACTTCTTCTGGTGAAGAACGAAGAGCAAGTGAAGCTTCTAGGTTTGTTTGGCTATTAATTTACACTGTCCTACAATTAATTGAGAACTTAACCCTGCCATTCTATGCTTTATAAATTTTAAGATATAACTAGCTAAAAACTAGTGTGAGCTGCGTCGGTGTTTCTAATGAAACAGTAATGATGAAAAGGTAAATTATACATCGTGAAAAAATGAAAAAACGAAAAAACTTACTAATTTTAACTTACTACTTTTTTCATCTTTTCACGGTGTATAATTTACCTTTTCATCATTACTATTTATAAATTTTAATTTTCTGCGTCTTTGCTCCCTCGGCATCTCATATTTCGAGTAAAACATCAGTAAAAAGGTCTATTTCTCGTAATATTGAACTACAGTACTGGTGAACGTGGTACAGCACATTAGCAGCAAACGCAACCCTTACTTTCTCAGCCTCATATCTGTTCTTTGAATTCACAGAAACAACAAAAATCTGGCATCCAGAGATCCAAAGCCTACGACTGACAAAGAAGTGGCTAGTTTAGAATCAAAGTCTGGTACTTATGATGGTATGGAACAAGATAGAAARAGTATGAAGCATGGTTCCATTTCTCTATTCCAACATGAGCATGAAAACAGTACAAAGAACCTTGGTCTTCAAAAGCCCAATACTTCACCAGTCAGAACTCCTTTTCCGCATTCATCACCRCTGAGGCCTCCAATCCCAAGTCCTATTCATTATCAATCTCCTTACAGTTCCTTGGAGAACCTCTCAAATTCCAGTTCTAGTCCAGTACAAAATAGATCTCCTCAGCGACCATTTGGATCTCCACCAAAGTCCTCTCCTGGACCTTCGAGTGGTACACTCCTCAGAGCTTCTCCTCTTAAGAGTAGTAGATCACCACCTATCATTCTAGATCACAAGCAACCACATTTTACACCACCTAAGAGACAGTTTACTCCTCCATCATCTTCAAGCTTTTCTCCTTTGAGATCAAACAAATTAAGTCCAGTTTTAAGTAGTCCTTCCCTGCATGGTCTTATCAACCTGCAAAATAGTGGACTTTCACCAGGTCATAGCCACGATCCACATCAATTGATGGGAGCATTTGCCTGCTCTCCCAGACATTCTCCACCAAATGTATTAACCAGTCAGTTGTATGCACTTCAGCTTCAACAACAACGACAGTTACAAGATCAGCAACGCCAGCAGCTTCAACATGATCAAATTCTCTCGCAATTTCATATGCAGATGAATCAACTACAGCAAATGGCTGACCAGTTGAAATCTTGCCAACAAGGAATGCTTTCCCTTGAGCAGAGGGAAATGCTTAATCTTTATTACAACCAAATAATGTCTCAGTACCAACAGGCCAGCCTTATAAAATATCATTCAGCAGCATCACAGGACAGTACAATTCTGTCTACAGACCAACAAATGCAAATGCTTAGGGAACAAATGCAATTCRAATTCCTTTCTGACCAGCAAAAGCAGGACAGTTATAAATTGTTGCACACCGTTCCAGAAAAAGACCAATTCCAGTCAATGTTGTCTCATATGCAGCAATACTCAAATGTGTATACAGAGTTAAGTCACAAGAGGTCAAATGACAAGGCACAAAATCAGGAGGAAGACAGTATTAAAGATCATGTTGCAAGACTGAAAAAGTTTATCCCTAATAAACAGGTACGTAGTATAACAGAGATAGTGCYTGTTTTATATAATTTATAGTGTTTTTAACACTATTCACGATCGTGCGCCTGTTATATTTGACCTGTAGCTGAATGTGACAGCATAAGACGTAAATTGTGACCAATGAGTGTGCCAGATTTATTGAATACTCTAGTTTCGAGTTCCAAATTACTGCTGTGTTCCTTGATCATAGACTCATTTGCTCATGTTTAGCGTCAACTTTACCCAACTTTGTGCGCAATATTTATGTGTCCAAAAAAAGGTCCGTGCAGTTTCTAAGTGCTTGTATTGTTGAAGTTGTGCATTCTTTACTTTACCATTGGTATTTGTGAATATTTAGACTAATTCGAGACTAACCCTGAGGCTAATCCTGAGTCTGTAATCTAGGAATACAGCAGTATTTTGAAACTCAAAACTGGAGTATTCACTTCACGCGTAAAAATACTATATATACACACACACATCAGTTCTGAAGACTCGCATCTCGGTAAATATTCCCCGATATTTACTTCACCTTCAGCGAATTATTGTTAAATATATACATAATAAATTATATATACACCACTTGTAATAAGTAACCTACACAACTCTAGCTCTAGGTACAAAATAAAGGAATATGGTCACACTAATAATTGAACTTACTGTGTTCCAGRAGGAACTGAAAGCTAATTCTCAAACAGCCAGCACATCACCTTCTTTGGGCACCAAACCTAAAAAAGATACTGTTATGTCAATACCTAACACATCCTCCAGTTCTTTAACATGCCTGGCTTCATCAAAAGAAAGTACAATATCTAAAGCTGCTGCGGTTTCTATATTGCCTTTAATGCAGAGTGTAGAAAAAGATCACAACAAAACCGATGATCAAAAAGTAGTTGATGCATTGGTCAAAAAACCAAGGTATGTAATCATAATTTACCTGCTTTTATTGTTATCAATAAACCCTTGAAACAGGTGCACATTATCTGCATTAATCTGTAAAACATTAGACAAAAAATCTCTTTAGTTTGGGTATGCTTTAATGTTTTCCCATTTCAGATCATGTGTTTGAAATGGGAAAATATTATGCCCAAGTAAAGAGGTCTGGCTATTGATCATGAATACTATTATTTCATAGTTAAATATGCAAAGACAGCTTGATTATATTCATTACAATATTTTTACTTTCAATTGTTTATTAAGTGTCTCAGAGTGTCCGTCCACCAGTACTGTTGAAACCAACAAGTCTTCCATTCCCTTAATGGTAAGCTCACTAGTTTGTATATAGAATAGTATGAGTAATTATATTTCATATTGTAAAATTCCTATAATAGTCTGTTTTCTCATTCTGTAAATACCGCTGTGTTTTAAGACTGAAGATTCATCTCCGCAGGCTTAGCCTCGCTTAAGCAGGGCTGTCAACTCTCCCKGATAAACTGGGAGTCTCCAGATTTTGGACCATATCTCCCGGTCTCCAGATTAGAGTCTCAAATCTCCCGGATAATCTCCGAAGCTGACCATTTCTTGTGAGTCACTCCACTTTCACAACCATAAAATTCCAATTATTTTGTGTTGTTTGTGTTATTTTACATCGCTAACAAAATCAAAACATTCCTCATAAACTGTTCTTGCAAGCAGGCCATTGTAATATAAGTGATAATCTGATTGGTCAGAAATAAACCAATCACATCAAATGTTACRAAGTGAATGACGTCTTTTCGTGCCCTTTTTTCCGCTGTGACGTCATGTCCCTTCTCTATCAATTCTCCAGATTTGAATATCTTGGGGGTTGACAGCCCTGCTTAAGAGTAAATCATTTGCAAATGTCAACTTTAACTTTAATGTAAAGAATGTGGAGCTTGAACAATACCAATGTTTTGAAATCCCACAGACTTTTAATGGTATCTATGAATAGCTGACTTATAAATGAGGCTAAGCCTGTGCAAATGAGTCTGTAGTCTTCAAAAACGGTGGCATTGAATGTGAAACTGGTGTATTAACAAGTAAATTACTTGCTCATACAAGTACAGTATCTGCATAATGATCAATAATTTTTAGGRAAATGTACAGAGTATGAATTGGCATAAATAATTTTATGTCAGTGCCTAAACTTTGTGACTACAGCTATTGCTATTTTCATAGACATTCAAACTTGGTGCAAGCTGCACGCTAAAAAAATGTTTGTTTTTTTTTGCTGCTGTCAATCAAAAAGTTAATCCATTGGTACCTTTCATATCTTTGACTGGCGGCAGAGAAACCAAATTTCAGCTTGTAGTTTACAACTATGGAGGTTGCATGTTTACAAAAATACTTTAGCAGTAATGCAGGATATATTTTCTTCCAACTAGTTGCCAATATTTAATGGCAGCTCAAAACTGCAATATTAAAACTTATGTCTCCTCGAATGAACAGTGTCATTAGTGCAATAGCTTATGTCAATGCACTTGTTCTCTGTGGTAAAGAATTTCTTTTTTCATACCATATTCCAGGCTACAGGTCAAGAAAATATATCAAGCTCTATTCTTTCTCAAACTAAGAATAACACCTACAAGCTTGAAGATCAATTTTCTACTCAAGAAATAAAGAAAAGTAAGGTTTCTCCTAAAAAGGAGGATGACCCTTTTGGATTCAATAGCATTGGAGATGATGTTAACAAAAAACCATCCTATGCAACAGTGACTAATTCAAGTGATAACAGCAGTAACAAATTATCAACAACTTCAAGCAGTAAGAATAAAAGCAAGGGAAAAAAGACTGCAGTTTTGAGCACACTAGCAGATCATTCGGTTAAGCATTCTCATAATGAAGCAGTTGATGAAACAGGAGCAGCCAAGTCAGAGGCAACCAATAGTCGTGAGTCTGTTATAAAGTATGTTGTAAACAAATCTGAACCACTAGTCACTAGTTTGAACATTCCTAACAAAGAAACCTCCACGGCGACGTTAGACACTGAAACGCTGCCATTCTCTGTAGATCAGTTATTAGAATTTCACAAAACATCTGCTCAGGCAGCAGTGAAAGTATTTGAACGAACTAATGAAGTGGCAGAGCCAAAATTGTCTGATACTAACAAAAAGCAGGGCAAGAAAAGGAAAAAAGACAGAACATTAGAGGATAGAGATAACGATAAAATTCCAATAAAGAAGTCAACAAAAAGTGCTAAGCAATCAAAAAAAAGCAAACAAAAAGTGGATGAGTCAAAGCAAGAACTGAGTGGATGTCTTGAAAACGAACCCACACTTCAGACTTCTGATTTGTTAAGTAAAGCTGATGACCATGATTGCAAAAAACAGAAGACAGGCTATCAGAAATCACTTGAAAATAATTCTTCAAAACCTCTATGTAGCTTTTTCCAAAACATCAATGAAAATGAAATGAAATGCAAAGATGGATTAAAAGAGCAGGAAAAAGAAATATTGTGTACTGAGAATATATCTAGGAATGCAGACAAAATGCAGGACTGGAGGTTAATGAAGCAGCTCTCTGCAACAGATACAGTAGTTTCATCCTATAACAGTACAAAATCAGCTGTCCCTGTAAACTTTGTTGCAGATCAAGCAGTTAAAACTGTGACTACAGTCAGCAGAGCTTCTGAACCTGTATTGGCTTCAACCTTGTGTGGAACAGAGTACGTGGTCGAACAGATTGAAACCTCTAGTGAAGCAGCATCAGGCGATAGTGCTACTTTTAAATCTGAGGTGACCAGGAAAAGAAAGAAGAGCAGAAAGGTTTTAGAGAATGAACTCGTATTGGACCAAGATAAGCTCAAGGAAGAAGAGAATGAAAAGCTGAAAAAGAAATTGTCAAAGAAATGTCATCAGATGAGTGAAAAGGTAGACRAGAAAGAGATACCTGAAATTGTTGATCAAGAAGAACAAGAAAGATTTGTAAGTGAATCCAAGAAGAAGAAAAAGAAGAAGAAAAAGGAAGAGCCATCTGAAGATTCAAAAGGGAAAGAAAAAAAGGACAAAGATACTAAGAAAAAGAAGAGTAAAAAGATGGAAAATGGGATACTAACAACAGACTCTAAACTCAACGACACCAATAGGATGGGAGAAATGCCTAATGAGATTGAAAAAGCACTTTTGCAATGTGACAATCAGGAAATGGATGGACAAAAAGATGATTTACGAAAACATTTTGGAGAAGGAAAATACGTAGAAGCTCCTACAGAAGTAAGGAATCAGGAATCTAAAAAAATACCTGATATTATTGATCCTATAAAAGCAGAAAGCCAGAAAAGTTTTAATATTAAAAAGTCTCAGAAAATCAAAAATGACAAAGTAGTGGAAGGCAACAAAGATGAAAAGATGAAGAAAGAAAAGAAAGTTAAGAAAAGGAAGACAAAAGAACCAACAGATGAAATGATTAAAGATACAAGGACAGCTGAAAAGCCTGCAGTCACAAAAAATGATTCTTGTAGAGGAGAGGATATTAAGAGAGATGTGYCAGACTCTAATGCAACTGCTGAGAAAAAAGATAAAAATCATCAGGAGAATGATAAGAATGATGAAGAGATTGCTGAAAGGAAGAAGATAGATACAGAGACAGCACCAAACAACCACACAGTAAATGATGGTAAGCATCCATTGGTAGTATAGAGCTTTATCACACGGCAGCCATGTTGACTGCAATGATATATTTACCCCATTTCCCCCTCATCCAAGCGCTTCAGGATGAGGTTATGAGGGTTTTGAAAAGGGTTTTTATTAAGGGAATAAACATGGCACCAAGTGATAAAGGTCTATAGACTGAGGCTTTGCATCATGATGTGATTGCAGCCATGACAGGAGGCACCGCAATACGTCAAGTCTTTTTCCCTGGGAAACTGAATTCTTTCTCATGTAAATCAGATCTAAGACCAGATTCAATTGTTCCTGCCTTCCTATCCTGTCTTGTCTGCCATCAAGTGCAAAATCTAGCTCAATCAGAGAATTTTGTTGTCAGGATAATTTACTTATGGCTTCCGTAGCAACATACATGTTTGTAAACCTTTTCAGAAAAAATGGAAAGCGATAACAGCATGAAAGTTGAAACTGAAATAAAAGAAGAAGAGAAATCAGAAGAGGTGAAGAAAAAGACCACTGGGAAAAAGAAAAACTTAGAAAAGAAAAAAAGTATCAAGAGAAAACAAGATACAACGTCTGAAGGTTAGCTATTCTCACAAGGAATAATCGATGACGAACAGTCATGGAAGTTATTGACCAAGCTTGATATTTATATTTTACAATCAACACTCCCCATACAAGGCTCTTAAGCTGGTCCTTTTAAAACCAGTCACATTTACAGGCTGGTCTGCCCATTGAGTGGCCATTATTCTTAGCCCCCAATCATAATAATTATTATTATAATAATTTTTGTTTTTTTCCAGAATTGGAAGTACATAGCAAAAAGAAGAAAAAGRTTAAAGAGCCAGCAGAAGAATACTTTCTTCAGGTAATAAGAAGAGATAACTAGCTAAAAACTAGTGTGAGCTGCATCTGTGTTTCTAAAGAAATAGTAATGATAAAAGGGTAAATTATACACCGTGAAAAGATGAAAAAACTGACGTTTYGAACGCTAGTCCTCCATCAGAGTAAAGTACGCTCTTTTACTCCGACAAAGGACTAGCGTCTTTTCACGGTGTATAATTTACCCTTTTATCATTCAGGTAATAAGACACATTTATTGTTAAGAGGACTTTATATCAGTTTAATATTATCACACAAAAACAGTGATAAATATATTACGAGTAAGTTGTAATTTCAATTTTAAAATTTAATTTATAGTAATAGTGTTAAATATATATTAATATTTTTCTTCTATAATAATGTTTAGAACTCAGGTTGCCTGGCATTTTCAAAGCTTCCAAGATGCAGAGACTGCCGAGACAAAGAAGAAAAGCCTGCAATGAATTCTCAAGTGTGCTGCAGATTCACCTTATTTAGAAGGTAAATAATTAGAGACAGTATATGGGAAGCACAGGTGGTGTAGCAGTGAGAGGAATCACCTCTCACCAGTGCTACCTACTGCCGGTAGGGTAGTCCTGCCAGCTGGTGTCGTATGCAAGTAAAGGTTGTTTGAGAGAACCTCGCCATTGCATCAAGTTAGTAAGAGACCTCAAACCAACAACTCACATGTGATGCTAAGTACAGGAATCAAACCCGAGACCCAAGACATGACACTAGGCAATTGCACTACTAAACATAGTAAATATTTTTTCCTTTGAATGATTTTATTTTTAGGCTCAAAAAGAAGAAAAGATCTGATAAAGTTCAAGTTGCAGGATTTTTGTCACCAGAAAATGCAGAACCAGATGATTTTGAGCCTTGGGTGGCACATCAAGAAGGTATTTGGGGCAGCTCTGCTTTTTTTTTGGCTCCATTATAATGTGGTGTGTTGTGTTGGTTGTGGTGTGATATGGTGTTGTGTGGTGCTGCTTTGGTGCCCTGCARTGTAAGGTGGTGTGCTGTGGTGCCCTATGGTAGTTTGCTGTGGTGTGGTGTGGTGTGATGTGGAATGGTTTTGGAATGGTTTGTTGCCCTGAGGTGTGGTGCAGTGTGGYATGTTTGGGTGTCCTGTGGTGTGAGGTAGTGTGCCGTGGTGCATTGTAGTGTGGTATAATGTTTAGTGGACTGGTTTGTTGCCCTGTGCTTTGGTGGTCTTTGATGTGGTATGTTTGGGTGTCCTGTGGTGTGAGGTAGTGTGCCGTGGTGCATTGTAGTGTGGTATAATGTTTAGTGGACTGGTTTGTTGCCCTGTTGTTTGGTGCCCTGTGGTGTTGTATGGTTGGGTGTGCTGTGGT